TTCCCTGTCAGGGGACCATTACTGGCATGGTATATGGAATCACAAAAAGGATACTGTAAAACTGATTTTTTCATTTCTACAGCTAAGAACTGTTCACTATTGACGGGAGGAGTATGCAAGCGGACTGATAGCTTAGCCGGAAGTCAGCTTCGACATTGTATTCAAGGGGTCCCGGGCTCAAGTCCCAGTCCGGCTGCATATTTAAAGTGTGTCTTTACACAATGTTTGTATAACGCTAATGACGTCATGTCAATTATATGCACAGATGTGCAATACCATATTTACGGAGTGGCAAAATTGGCACCGGTGTGTGATAAAGCATTATATCATCACACACCAGTGCCAATTTTGCTACTCCATAAATATGGCATTGTACGGCCATGCATATATTTTGACGTGACGTCATTAGCGTTATACAAACATACAGTAGTGTAAAGACATGCTAAATGTTAGCGTTAAACTATAGGCGCGTCAAAGAAAAATGACTCTGATTTCACTTTAAACGGTCTTTATTTTTAGTATGTGTTAAATAGAATAATATACTCCCTGGGCGGCGGGTTATCCCTTTTGGCGGTTTTTGCCTCCCAGTTAGTTCCTTTCGGGAATCTTTTATTAAACTATGTTATGAAATCTATTTGTGTATTTAGTATAAATAATGCTGATTTATGGCATTTTAAATAAATGCCCGATTTCCATTCAAATCATGTGTTGTTTTCCCTTTGTTCCCTAACGAGTTCGACCTATCCTGTGATTGTAACCCTGATCTTGGACAATACATAAATAATATTTTATGCCCACATAAAAGATTTTATGTCATTGGACCCTATTTGTGACGTCAGGAACTTAACGATGTTAATCAGAATTTAGCTAGACGCATAAATTATGCTATTACCCAATCAGATGTTTACATTTAAACATGTGATCCTTCTAAGCCAATGGATATACAGATAAGCCATATCTTTGTTCATTTTGGCGTACATTGGTTTGGTACCAAATTTTTAAAGAAAAAATAAAACCACCTCCTCCAACTCCACCACCTCTTTCAAATGTTGCCAAGATCAGGGTCCATGAAAATATGATACATGCTTTTTTACTTATTCTTGCTCTAAAATTGATCTAGTCTCCTTTGTTTTCTTGTTAATACATCAGGTCTTATGTTATTACATCTTGATTCTTTGTAAGGGCGGTTTTTGCCTCCCAGTTAGTTCCTTTCGGGAATCTTTTATTAAACTATGTTATGAAATCTATTTGTGTATTTAGTATAAATAATGCTGATTTATGGCATTTTAAATAAATGCCCGATTTCCATTCAAATCATGTGTTGTTTTCCCTTTGTTCCCTAACGAGTTCGACCTATCCTGTGATTGTAACCCTGATCTTGGACAATACATAAAATATTATATTAAATTTGTGTATGTTCATTACTGAATTTATTGCACTCATTGAATAAAGTAAATATTATGCTCACCAGCTAGAGGTCGCATAATATAATTTTATTCAACTAGTGCAATAAATTCAGCATTGAACTTACACTCATTCAATATCCTCTTTTTAATACATATTAAGCGCACGTCAATTAATTTCAATTTTAAGTGATATGAAAAATAATTTCTGTTGCGCTGTCTTTGTAAATCTAATAACTTTACATCAAAACCGGTTTCCTTATTTTCCTCATTTTTTTACTCTTGACTACTGTTTCAGACCTAAAATAAAATTGCGTTCTTAATATTTATATATACTCATATATTGTAATGCCCTAGAAATTTTACCTTTTTTGTGATTTCACTGGATTTCAGTAGACTGTTTATTTCTACTTTCACTTTCGTTTTGAGAAGATTTTACTGGCGACAAGACAAGATAAATTATGCGGTGTCCTAATGAAACATACAGGACATCAACTTAAATCTACGTATTGTGCCAGCAATTTAATCATTCCTGATTCTGGAAGCTTTTCCCTTAATGTTATCCATTTCCCTCAATGTTATCCGTGGTAGAATCCTGTGTTTTTAATCTGTTTTCGTGACTTCTGTCAAAATAGTTTATTCCTTTATTTTACACTCAAGATTATATAGTTCGATTGTTTATGATGCAGCCTCACTTAAAATATAGATATGCCTCATAAATCCATCTGAATTTAATTGTTAGCACTGTATATTTATAAAAATTTGCAATGCATAATTCAATGTCAGCCATGTTGGACTATTACGTAGAGATTACGTAGTGAATGCAAGGGATAGTTCTTTATTTGATTGCGCATAAAAACTAAAAAGGAACACGTTATCCTAACTATTTTACTTTCGATATTAGCGCACGATAGCTTATAAATATTTCTAAAAATCATTTGTTGAGGCTGTGACAAAAAATAATTTCGGTGTTAGTTTGAGTGCATTTCAGTTCTTACATAAACTCGTTTAAAATACATTTCTAGCTACCATACTGGCATGCGAGCAGTTCCCGTACAGAAGCAGTACCCGTATTTTTCATTTAAATGCTTGATTTTTACTTGCAATCTTCAAAAATTCATTTCAAATCAAGCAGATGCATAAAAGAGACAAAATCTAAGTGTCAGTTCGGCAGTACGTATAAAAGTCTCATTTTAAATCACTTTCACCTGTGCGTTGTCAAAACGTGACCTTGTTTTCACTGGGGGATTCCGTCCTTATGTGCGCATGCGCTAAAATACTTACACTTGAGGCCTATTAAAGGGTTTTCCACTAATACCACCTGTTTACAGATAAGAAGGCAATGTGATGAAAACTTGGTTAATTATCAGAATTTTGATCAATATTACTATATTAAATAATTTTATGGCTTTGGTGCGTAAAATATCATGCATACAAGCATGCCATTGTATGAGAATGCGTTGGGGTAATGGCACCGGGTAATAGATGCCAGTGTTTAGTCTACGCTCTATTTCCTGAATTACATCTATTTATCTCTTAGAAAATGGTCTGTTCAACAATTATAATTGAAAAATACATCCGATATAACAAAATTGTATGATTATAATTGGTTTAATTTTATGTACGGGAACTACTTCTCTTCATACAAAATAATGGATAATTTCGGTACCCCATATGAGGCCTCATAACTAAGGGTTATTCTATGTTTAGAACATGATGGAATTTCCATGATTTGTGTGACGAGCCGAATAGTGATGTGTTACATTCAAAATTTGGTGAGTGAGCGTAATGAATAATAATGTTTAAGTAACTACGATTTTTGTACGGGAACTGCTCGCATGCCAGTATAGATCTATATGATAATCAAAATTTATCGCTAAACGATCTACATGTAGCTAAAGTTGTTAAAAACCTAAAATGATTACGATGTTTTAATAAATGTTTAGAAACGTTTTCATTTTGCGTGCGTTTTAGCGTGCGTATATCGTTTAGCGTATTTCGTTTAGCGTATATCGTTTTGCGTGCGTCTGCGTATTTCGTTTCGTTTTGCGTGCGTATAACGTGCGTTCGTATAGCGTGTAACGTGCGTTCGTATAGCGTGTAACGTGCGTTTTGCGTGTAAACTGACACGTTCACCCTACTGTAACTTTATCTACATTTAATGAGGTTGGGGTCATCTTCAGGAATTCAACTGCTATTTTGATTTCTGAAAGGTATTAATTTTTGCCATATAGACGTAGAAAAAATATGAGAACGATATAACAGTTTTCGTGCACTGCAGTTATTGTCGTGAGAGTAATTGATAAAAAAACATGAATAATATTATTATATATATCACTTGAAGGTGAAATATGTCTCAAATAAGAAAACAAAAGAAAAAGCCGTGTAACCGGCGTGTCGTGTAGTGACGACTCATCATACAGTTACATAAGTAACGTAAAACCGGCGCACGACAAAAAAAAGGGTTAGTTCATTACTTTGATGCATCACAGTATCCTTTAAACACTACATATAAGGGAAAAGAGTGTACACGTACGTATTCCTGACGTCACTAGAAAATATGACGTCATTCGCCCTATTGTAACGTTTTTGTGTGGTCGTTAAAGAGTTGATAAATTGGTATTTGGGCCTCGTATTTTTTGTAATCATTTTTTTAAATCAATAAATCTATTAAATGGCGCCGTAACTTTATATAAAGAAGTGTTCATAATTTAGTTTGGTAACTATATTTTTCTACACATCAAAGGACAGCTGAAGGGACGGAAGTTCAAAACACTAAATGATCTTCAAAATGCAGTGTTCTGAATAATTTGTACAATTCCAATATCCTTAAGAACAAACATTTTATATTGATTTTATATCCTTTTAACTCCAACCATTTCTCGTTAAACATAGTATTACAGAAGGTCATTTGAGCCGTGCCATGACAAAACCAACATAATCGGTTTGCGACCAGCATGGATCCGGACGGATGCGCAGACTGGCCTCGATCCATGCTGGTCGCAAACCCATTGTGTTGGTTTTGTCATGACGCGGCTCATTTTATTCTAGTAAGGATGCTAATGAATTTTCCTGTACTTTATTGATACAAGACATTAGCAAACTTGCATATCAAGTTACATTCTATTAAAATAAGTTCACGTTTTCAATTATTATGTTTCGGCAGGTGAAGAAATCGTGTGTACATAAAAAAATAAAATAAAAAAAAATTATAATAAACACCGCCTAGCGGGAGTCACACTCGAAATTTTCTTACTCATCGGATGACACAAAGTAAGGAATACTCCAACAAAACATTAACAACAACATATTGTTATGAACTGGAACGGGAACGGAAACATGATTTTTTCCGCAAAAAGTCCAGCGTATAACACAGTACAGTCAAACTGGTAAATAAGGACCATCCAAAGAGAGAACATGCATGGCATTGAATGACAAAAGGTATTTATTAGGAATGTACATTTTTCAATGAAGGTTTCTCAAAAAGTGGTCTTTAACTACAGGGTGGTCTTAAATCGGAGTTTGTCTCTAACAAAGGTTTGACTGTATATCAATTCTGGAAAGTCACATGCATAGCTTATTTAAGTAAAATTTTACTTGTTTTCATCCGGTTATAACGTCTCCTCTCAAAAAACCTCTGAAAAATGTTTCCTTTCTTCTGTCTGTCCTGCCTTGTTTCAT